TTTGAATACAATGTATTATGATTGCCAATTGACACAACCCTATTAACAAAAGACAATAAGGATTAAATTTTACGCCCTCCCGCCGGCCCCGTGTTATAAAAGACGCGTTATTCACACTGATTCCCGCGAAATAAGAATCTGAGTTCGGTACCGCGGCATGCATAAGTAATTCACACAAAATTGGATTTGCGGGACTCTAAGTTATAACGGAATACGAGTATTTTGTTCTCAGTACGTAACCGGCATATATTTAATCAACGCAACCCACAGCCATTGAATTTTGGGGGTGGATAATACCGCTATTATATTTTCTTTGGGATCGCAATTAATTTTCTGTTTCAGCACCCATAATATATATTATTTAATTATTTGATACTGGCTTTCAGCGTGTCTTATCTTGAAAACAGGTGGTTAACGAAAGCATAAACCTTAATTTGAATTCGAGATAGTATTTCCTGGCCATGCTTTTAAGTTTTAACCGTACGACTTAGACTTAAATTGAATAGTTGAATTAGTAAACCACCTATGTAGTTAGTTGGTATTAAGTATAGATAGCGGAAACACAACTATTATAACAAAATCTCTGATCAATTTGTTACAAAAACAGTGAAGGACTTTACTAGTAACAAGTAAACATTATACAAATAAATCTAATACAAATACTTCTACTATACTCAAAATTGGTAAAAACTGTCAACCATTATTATTTTTCGCATCTACACTAACTATAAAAAACCCGAAGGCCAAGCTCTTCTTTTGGGAAGAGAAGCAATATTTGCTCTTAATTGTTTGCGCAATTCCCTCCCAATTAATTATAAGTTATCGATTGTTCCTGTTAAATAAGCAACACAAATCTTTACATCGATGAAGACCAACCGTTAATTCAGAAGTTTTTGTGCCAAAGGCCGGTCCGTACAGTAATTATAAAATTGCTGATAATTCACGACCGACAAGCTCTTTGAACTAGGTACTAAATCTGAAGGAATTCATTTAATTACATCTTTTGAAGAGTTAGGCGAAATCTATAAGTTATACGTGCTTAACTTTACTCAAAAGTTCTTTTATTAAATCAGTAGTTTTCCCTAACTAATAAGCAAATAATATAAGTTAATAAATTACAAAAATGAAAATTAGATATCGTCTTTTATAATATTATTTTTATTCTTTCTGAAGATTTATTTTCTTAGTCCTTTATGCTGAGATTGAACAAAAAAGAAACTTGAGAATAGGTCAGATGTCTCACTGATACACTTTAGACGATTAAATTGATTATATGTTGTAGAATGATGTTAGAAATCATAAAAACCGACGAGCGTAAGTGGTATAAGAGTTATGAATATCATACTCACTCTCCTATCAATCCTCGTAATCGACTGTGTAAGATTGCGTTATAAATTCTAGTACAGTTTTAAATAGTTTTTTTTTCTGGATAGTAGGACTATGGTGACAAAGTTAATGGTTACTCAACGTTCCAGTATCAATTTTTAAAATTTTATTTCAATTTTAGTCATTGAATAACTAAGTTCAACAGAATGGGAAGCGTTAATTGTATTTTTATACAAACTTTTAATAGAAGTAGCCAATATTCATTATTTCATCTCTCTTGGAGTGCCTGATATTAATCGTAATTATTTATGAATAATATAAAATTAAAAAGGTCCAAGACGTGCTTTGTGTTTGCCACGTAGCAATTAAAAATATGCCAGTTTTTATTCTCATTAAAGTTAGGCACAATACAATCGGGTTTGCGTACGGATTTTTCTTAATTTTCCGTCGTCGCGGCGCTGACTTGAATAATAACGTACGGCTAATGGGGTTTTCCGTTATTTTGTTTCTAAGTGGAACTGGAACTTTGAATGGGAATAAGGACTTCATTCAAATGAGACTTTATGACGAGGCATAGCTTAGAAAATGAATTAGCTGCTTACTAAAAAAATTACGTTAAAATGCGACGGTAAAACTTGTAACTATAAATATTCCTAATGAAAAGAATGTTCATTAATAAACTAATAATTAAAATTTTCAATAAGAACATTTTTCATCATAGCATTGTGAATACAAAATCAAATATAATAATTGTAACCTTAAACTTAAACGACAAAACAAAATATTATTATTTTAAATTAAATATATTAAGAAATACTATAAGCTATCAAGACGGTACAAATAATGTCAATTTGTGATAAAAAAAATGTTTGAAACTAGCATATACCTACTTCATAAATCCACAATACATTTTGTTATACATTTACGAGGAAAGTTATTTTTTTCAAATATATCTATTATTCGTGCTCTCAGTACCAAGTGATCGTTACTTCAATTTTCTTCGTTTGCTTGCGGTTCGACTTGTATTGTGCTGAAAACAAATGACTGTGATGAGCGGCGCGATAGCGGTCACGAGAACTTTCTAACAAAAACATAGGTTTTAATAAATAAACAAAGTCAAAGTCAAAATAATCTTTATTCAAATAGACTTCTTAAAAGTACTTTTGAATCGTCCAACATTTTTTCTCTACTACTCGTTCAGGACGACTTTTGGCTGATAAGAAGAACGAGGAAGACCCACCAGCTCTTATAGGAGTAATGACATTCACAAAAACCACTTCATCACCAGATCAATACATTATAAACAGAGAGAGAGAGAGAGAGAGAGAAAAAAAAATAAAATAATGATAACATAATTATTAAATAATAATGGAAACAAGATAATTTTTGATATATAATAAGTGTAGAAGTGATCATAAAACATAAAATATTGTTTAAATGCCTTTGACAATGGTGGTTAACATTTTAAACTAATTCCACTTTCCCAAACAACATTGTTTTAAAATCCCGGTTTTTTTTTTATTTTAGCACTCTTTATTATTTCTTATTTCTGAAAAGAATAACGATGTTAAAATTAAATCATAGCGAAGTAAGTGTCATCATCCAATGAAGATAAATTAGATCAATATTTTCCGATTAAGTGGGTTCTAATAAGAGAACTCCACGACTCACCACAGGGAATCTGAGCGTTAACAATAATTACGCCCTTTTTCTTTAAGTCACTTGAGTCTCAAGATTGGATATTTTTGTTACAAGGAGCGGAGCCCGGCGATTTTGATAACTATTAAACGATTATGTGTTGTTACATATCGTTACTCCGCTCTTCGCTACCGTTTGGTTTACGGTTATAGCCTTATGGCCTACACCGTGCGGAAGTAGGGTGGGGCTCTCGCGTCAGTTCCATGGGTGTGGGGCGACACTGTCCTGATATTATCTGTATAGATGTACCAAGTTAATGTCAGTAAGAAAATATGAGTAAAATAAAAACAGCTACTGGTATTTGCTAGGAATTATTTTTCAAATACTTCTACAGATATTATAATTATAAATACTGAATATCTAACATTTAACAGTAACTTGTGCTACCTTGCAGAAGTCTATTTCGATAGTTTTTATGATAGTTTTAATTAGCAGTTAGTACCAACAACTTATTTGTGTTCCATCGTCATATAAGTGCACGTGCATAAACAGCAACGGACCCGGCAACCATCACCAACTATTCCTTTATACGTATTTTGACCTTTCTCGGAACATCCTTAAACAAGATCTAAACATCTCACTTTACATTGCAAATTTTCAGTTTCTAAAAGTAATCTGTAGCTTTTTCTGCTCTTTGAAAAGCGCACGTAATTCTACTACAATCAGTGATTTTAAATAAAAGAAACTTTCTGAACATTATTATAGAATCGCTGAATAATATTGAAACAACACTGGTTTGATTCAAATCTAAAGTTTCATTTAATATTTTACTGCGACCAATAAAGCGGTAGTCAACTTCGGCGAGTAAATAAACCACGAAACATCCAAACCCAGCGGAATAGGAAAAAGCTGCACCGAATACTTGTAAACGTTTGCTTCAATACTACGTCATTTGATATTCACTTCTGTTTTGAGCTTTACCTAATTCATTCATCTTTAGTAAGAGGTTGTTTAAAGCAAAGTATTATTATAATGACTGTGTGTACATACAAAATAAAATGATTTGTAAATGATTTAATATTTTTTATTAACTATTGCTCTGCCAAGAAAATAATATAAATGTATTTATAATGGTTTTCCAGTATTAAAAATATCATTTGGCACAATAATCCATCATCTATCTCTATCTATCCTAAAATCATAAAGTTTGACTAGTGTATACCCAAGGCAGGAATTGCACTTTAGTATTTCTGTGGATTAAGTAATAAATAAACAGATCATTTATTTTGCAGTTTCGTTTTGCTTTCTTTTCAAATTCATGAGTTTTCCTCTTCTTTTTGTTCACTCTTTTAAAGGTTAAATCGATGAAAATAGGAAACAAAGCAATTTCCACACCGCCCAGTGTCTGCCAGTTGCACAAACACCCATTAGAATTGTCATTATTTTATAGCGACATTAAATTTTTACGTTTATGAGTACCATTAATATTCAAATATAGGTTAACGACAACACATCCTTTATGCATTTACTTTTACTGACTTTTGATATCTATTGGTCACAATGAACTGTAATCCAAATATGCTTTGATTTGTGTTTCTGAAATCAAGGAAGAGTTTACAAGTAAATAAAAAAAACGCCTCTTTCACGTAATAATTGTAATAAATAAAGAGTAACGAAATAATGATAATACATTAAATATGACACTCGGATAGAAATTTTTCCGATCGACTTGAAGGTTTAATGTGTTGTTGGTTAAGTTTAAAATTTATTGCGAAAGTTTGACATTCATAAATTCTGTTCAACGTATCTATGAAATATGTATATAAAATTTATTCTCCGTGAATATCGTACCTCGTGACTTGAGTAAGAAATTCATCAGAAACGCGATATAAATATTTTCATATAATATTGATAAGCATCTGACTAGATTCCCAAACATACAATACCAAAATTAATTTTAATGTTTTATAATAATACAGAGAATTCAAACACCAAAAATATGAGTGATAATAGTGATAAGTATTGACTTAATGAAAATGTTAGCTTGTGTGTGCCAGCCTACGGAAACGGCTTTGTTATTCAAAGGAGGGCCACCAGTGGCTATGGGACCATTAGGCACAGGGAAGATAAGACATAACCCCGCAGATGCGATGAAGACTCTAAAATTACTGCCTAAACAAATGAGAAGGTTAAGTGAGGATAACTCGTCATACACCTCCTCGCCTTCTCTCGTCCAGTCATCCGGAAGCCTATTAAATCTAAGAAAAATCGAAAAGAAAGCTAAATCGACAAAAATCTTAGTGAACCCCGTGTGCTCCGACAGTGTTGGCACTACTAGTGATGAAAGTAACCCCCCTAAAACCAAAAAGTGGAACGTCAAGAAGAAGCGATTGAAATCAGACACGAGAAACAGAGATTCGAATCGAGAAGACTCAATTAGCAGAGACACCGCTAAAGAAGATAAGAAATCGATATCTTGTTTCAAAATGAAACACAACGACGATAAATCACGTTCGGAGGATGACAAAAAGTCAGGAAGGGAAAATTGTACGAATGAAAATGCTAGTAATTTAATGAATGCAGAAAAACCTGATCTGATAAATTATTCGAGGAATAGCAGTAAAGAGATATTGGTGGATGAAAGTACTATGACGGATGAGTCTATGTTGGTAGCAGAGCCTGGGGAAAAGACTGATAGTGCTATAGCTGTTAAAAGTAACGAGGTGAGTTGTAGTTTTTGTTTTTAACTTTAATATTAGATTATTATATTTGATCAAATACGCATTCACAATGCTATACGGAAAAATATCCTTCATGAAAAATACTTAAAAAATCCACTTGGTATACTTAATCGATATTAAATATTTAAAGAATTTTGAAAATACATATATCTTAGTAATCAATACCTATTCTACCTTATTATACTTATAGATTTTCGGTCGATTATTTTGTCTTACTGGAAAAATGTATCAACTTTTGTTTAAATACCATGAATTAATCGAAAAGCAATTGGCGTTAAAGTAATCGTATTGACGCCACATTTTGGTTATTGGTACGAGACTACTGTTTCGTTCACCTGCAATTAATATTCGTTCAATAGCCCTCACTTATATAATTGTGGCTTTGAAGGCTGGCCACACATTTGCAGATCAATATTTTTAGAGGAAGAAAAATTCGAACGTGTCATAAAGGACATATAAAAAATTAAAGATTTCTTTAAGTATTTGCCCCTCAAGTAATGTAGAGTGATGTGAGATGGGAATCTTTCTGTCCTTGTCATTAACGCACAATATATTCTTCTATAATCGATATTTAAAAGTTCTATCTTAGTGAATTGATTATTATGCAGCAATTCTCTTGTTCTTACTAATTTTGGTTATCTGAATTATCAAGTTAGCGTGTATTTAAATTGGCTTGATAAAAAGTCTATCCACATTTTTTTTAAAGAATTGCATTAAGTCGAAACGTCTTGAAGATTTAGCATGACTTTTAAAACATGTGTGAAGCACATTTTATGATTTTCTTCTTTTCCATTAAAAGTTTCAACTTTCGATTTGTCGAACATGTAGGGGGAGCCTTGTTTTTTTTTACACGAAAAAAGCTGACGCCATTTCGCTTCATTGATATTCTATCTACCTTCGGTGATTTTTATAATTTACATAATTTCCGTAATATCCATTACGCGAGTGGTACTCTTCGTCGAAATCCTATTTGTCATTGTTGCCAGATTTAATTAATTCATATTTTAATGGTATTCCTTTTTTTTTGTTGTTTGTATTTTAATATTGCTTACGTTAGAGAAAAATATGGTAATTATGTTTGGACTTTCGAAAAACCAAGACCATTTCTATACTTTTGGAGGGGAGGTCGTAAAGAGCATTTTTTAATTTAAAATGTCAAACCATTTCTCTGCTTTATTAGTCTTTTTTAATACACATTTCTTAAATTTAATAATATTTAAATTGTTAATATTTATATTGGTGTTTGTTTATTAACTTGTTAAAATATTATTTAATAGATTTTAATTGCTTGTAATAAATATGATTATTTGTAAAACAGAAAATATATATGTAGCTGTTTTAATAAACAGCAAACTATTAGTGGCCAATTAAGGGTTATCAGAATGTGGTTAAACAAATAAATCTTTGAATATATTTTCAATAAGAAAATATATTAAAAAAAGGATTAATGATTTATTATAAAATCACGAACCTTATTGCTCGAAATAATCGCATAATATTTAATAATATATTCACTTTAAATATAAATAATTGAATTAAAATAAAACAAATATTTCAGGGGGGTCCCATTAAAGAAATGTGTTTTTAGACTCTGTGTGATTTTTAAACACATTTTTTATCTTTCATAGTTACCATACATAAAAGTTTGAAATATAAATAATAGATAACCTTTATCATATAGTTTTGTATCTATCTTCTATCTTTCTTCTTCTAATATATGAAAGCGAAATGTTACACACTCACTCATCAACACGATATATCAAAAACTACAAGTTCTACGAGTTCCAAACTTTACATGGGGGTTTGTTTAGGACGTAGATGCTCAATAAGACGTGATTTAACCCCGAATGGGTTGTTTTAAGAGTTGATTGTGTGATGATTGTTATTACTAGAAGTGCTAAAAGTCGCAAATTTTATATAGTGGTTGTTTTAGTATTCGGTATTAGTATTTCCACGAAACAGTTCCTTGGGGATTACGCGAGTGTTCTATAAATCTATCGGAATTATGATTATAATCTTACAATTTCTTTTGCTCCGTATAAATGTGTCTCATAAACATCCCTTTCACTTATATTTTGACGAAACTGATAAAAATATCGGGATTAAATAAAAAGTATTTGCCAATTATGATAATAGGTTATGGGATGGCAATTATTAAATGTATATCAAGTAATATTAAATATTGTATGTATATTCGGTTTACTTTATTTAGTTAAAGACAAAATATCTTTATTCGAATACAGTACAGTTGTATCGACCAACATTTTTTTGCCAACCACTCATTCGGGACATCTTCAGGAGCGGAAGAAGTAATGATTTTTACAAAAATCATTTAATTACCAGATCAATACAATCGAAGTCGATGTTCATATTATTAATTGTGAAAATGACTCATAATATTAACCTAATGTGTTGTTGTTTGTTTCAGGTGAGTTACGGAGTATCATACTACTTAATATGCAAGATGATAATAAGGTTTGGATAAAACAAAAAAAGGCGCTTAGTACATCATTCAAAATATTTTATATATGATGTGATAATGTTGCCTTGACAACTAAATGGTTTAACCCTTCGTCTGTATCATGGTTAGTGTCAGTTAACACTAGGAGTTTCCGATTATCAATTTTAAACATCATTTTATTACATTTAATTTGTTTGTTGTTGGCAAAGTACAATTTTTTTTAAGTCCAAGGAAGTCTTAATATGTCTTTTTATAGAGAATGAAAAAAACTCTAAGGATTAAAAAATAGTAGTAAGCTATATCTGTAAACTAGTAGTAAATAGGTTACCAATATTTACTGTAATTAGTTGGCTGTACAACAAAAGAAGTCATTAAAAGTTAGGCGTAGCGTGTCTTTTAGCCTGATAAGGATATTAGAAAAATTTAAAATCAAAATTATTAATAGTAAATATTAGAAAACAACAAACATTGCTTACATTTCAAGATCAGTAGTGAATAAAGCAATCGTGCTATCGAGTAAATGTAACAACGAAGGTCCCATAACAAACCCGAGTTTATATAGAAAGCTTCATTAAATACATTTCATACTATTGTTTATCGATCGGTAATCGAATTCGTGACCTCAGAGATACCTTGCAACCTGCGCGCAAGTCACTCGACCACACAGATCGTCAAAAGTAAGTTGAGTCGGCTAGCTTATATTAACATAATCAAAATGATATTAAGTTTCCTCAAAAGGACGATATAATAAAGCCTTCTTTTCATAAAAAGAGATTCAGTGTCACCATTTGAAGGGATTTTGAGAGATTGCGGTTGGCAATAAGCCACTAAAGGAAACACTAAAAAGCACTAAAAGAATTCTAGATTGAATATGAAGGATCGCTTAGGTCACTCTTCCACTGCATATGTGGTCAGAAGCGTAGCGAAATTCTTATAAATTAAATGTTAAATTGAAACTGAAGCCTTCTACTATGATATAGTTATAATCAATATGTTTTTATAACATTTTGATGATTCTACATCTCTATTACCTGTAAACTATGGTTATTAATAGGTAATATACAATCTAACCGATTGATTTATAGATCTGGCTGTCTGTATGAACACTAAACAATTGTGCATGTGACAAGGTTAAAAGTAAAAGCTATCTTTATTTAAAGTCGTTACATTTTTTAATAATGCATTCAGCCTGACACTTATCAGTGTTTGTTAGTGATACATAAAATTATAGCCATAGTAGTTTTTGTATCTTGTATGGTATTTAGTGGAAGAAAGCCTTTAAAGCTTAGTAGTAAGTAGCATCTTGCCTTTAAGTAGTACGTGCGGCACTCAGAAAGTTGTGTGAAACTGGAAAAAAAAAATAAGGTCTATAGTGAAGCTTTTCTTTATTAAGGCTTTTCAATGTACTACTCCATCAACGTCTTCATAAAAAGCGATTTGAAATCTTAAAACGTCATTCCTATCAATTACCGAAGCACATTAATTTTACGGTGTTTTTTTTTTTTTTTTGTTATATTATGAGTTATTTAGTATAGTTTACAGACCACAATATTTTAGTATAAAGTTATTAATAATTTACGAGTATGAACCTGTCACTTTTTTTTATATATGTGGTAATGAACGTTTTGATACCGAACATTCTTCCACGTCAGTATGAACCATCATGCGTCTCTTAATATCATCATCGTCAGCCATTTTTACGTCCCCACTGATCTTGTTGATAGTTAAGGATCATGGCCCCCCATCCGGCCATGATCCTCTACGCTGGCCCATTGCGGATTGGAGGATATTACGACTGCAAATGCAGCCGGGAACAACGGCTTGACGTGCTTTACGAAGCATGGAGTAGGTCGAGTTATTATAGTTATTCTTCTAAAGTAGTGACATCACGGAGCAGAAAAAGTAGAATACTCGTAAAATGATATAAAATAAATAACATACACAAATCCTGTATTAATACTTAGTCCGAAGTTTATTAATAACTCCCGTAAGTATGGGGAATTCCTTGCGTATAGTGTTAGGTCTAATTATATTTTAGTAGAAATTAAGTAGAAGTAAACGTTAATAACTTTCAGATAACGCTAAACCATTAAGCTGTTTTCGACTATAATGTGAATTACATTACGACTCTATTCCAATTGCATTAAGTTATATTTAGCGGATTATCATAAACCTAAGCCTTAGAACGATGTCGTTATTTTGCCTTAAACTAAAACTAAGTTTTGTATTAGTGAAGTATACTAATACAAAAATATATTCAGTTGGTATTATAATAAAGTACATAATGATTATAATAAAGCACATGATGGCCTACGAGTAACTTATAATAACATCTTTCGACAATCTAATGACTGAAACGTTATTGCAGTGCTACTGAAATTTTCAAGGAGAATAGCATCCTTCATGTCCATGGTCGACAGGTCTGGTAATGCTATAGTAAAGGGCCTAGCCAAAAGACTTATGCAAACTGTAACATATAGATTATGGTTGAATATTGTCACCTGAATCTATCCTATTAATATTATTAATGTGAAAGTTTCTTTATTTGGATGTTTGTCCGTCAATCACGCCGAAACTACAGAACGGATATTGATGAAATTTGGTATACATATAGGGTATTAGCTGATTTAGATAATATGATACTTTTTATCCCACTAAACATTTCCCTAGGGACCACGCGGGCGAAGTCTAGCTAGGAAATTATAAAGCTATATATATTATGTTATATTTTTATTTGGAATCACATGTTCTTGTAATTTGTAATTTAATATAGATCACTGGC